TTGCCTGCTGATATATCAGTGGAGTATTTTAATATCTTCACACCTGGTATAGATTAAGGGAATGGCAGTGAGGTTTCAACCAGCAGTATTCTGCCAAATTCCTTTCTCTATATATGTCAAGACCGAATGACTGACAGAGTTCATCCAGTCAGCATGTCCCTAAGCTTGCCCATGTTTTGAGAAGGTCTGTTTGTCTTCTCGACACACTACAACCTGAAACAAAAGCCTGGCAAAATATATACATTTTATAACAGCTGAAAACCTGAACTGTGAATCGATTTTAAAAAATAATCCTAGGTTGCTGACTCCTGACCATATTACCACCATAGAAATATAGGTCAGCCTTTTCAAAGTACTGTGGTGCTGGGGAAACAGGCCTCAATGGAAACAGAAGTGTTCACTGAATAATCTTTGCATACCTTCAGCCTAATCTCCATGAAATTATTGGGAAGTGTTCTTTGAATAGATTTTGGCTTCAGTTTGAGTGGAGGACATGGATGACAAATAAACACAGAATGATATACCAACTAGAACACATACAGTTAAGTTCAAAGTGGCCCAATTAATTTGGTACCTTTCCAGAGATATCCTGAGAGCCAAATTCCTCATCACTAGGTAATATTTAAAAACTAGTATAGTCGGATTGTGTGGGTAATATTCATACCAGTGTCAGCACCATACATAGCAATGGATGATGATTATCACTGAGACTCAAAGTAGACTACAAAGTGTGAAAAGCAATACAATCAGAGAGCAAGGACCTCCAGTAATGGTCCTCCGACTAGGATTACAGAAAACACACACAAACAAAGCCAGTCTAAGGCATAACATACCATAACGAAGACAGACAGATGGCATTACAGTAAAAAGGGGAGGTGATAACTTACAATAATTAAACAGTGCAATAGACAACATTACTGTCACTTAGAGAAGCCACCTCCTGTGCTGTTCCATTATATCACCATTCTAATTCCCTTGTAAAAATGCCCTCCTGAACATTTCTGTTTTGCATATTCTGTGAAATGGTAGAAGTGTGGGTCCTTCTTAACCTTCTTAGGCAGGCTGTTGAACAAGGTGGGGACCACCACAGAGAATGCACATGAATGGGTAGTTGCTGCTCTTACTCATTTGCAGGGTGGCACTTTCAAAAGGTTTTGCAGGAGAGATTGTCCTACAAGTATGTGGGTCCAAGGCCATTGAGGGCTTTGTAGGTGATAACCAGAACCTTAAAGTGAGCCTGTTAATGGATTGGAACCAGGTAATGAAGTGTCTCCAGAATGGGTGTGACATGCATGTTCCACTTTGCACCTGATAATAGCTGAGCTGCAGCATTCTGAACCAGCTAAAGCTTCCAAGTTGTCTTAAAGGGCAGATCTGTTTAGAGTGCAGTATGATAGCCTAGCCACAAGGAAAACATCATGTGGATCTATATTGCCAGGTCAACAGAATCAAGATAGCGGACCATCTTTCTGGCTAAGCAAAGCTGAAATAATGTCTTTTTTGAAGCAGCTCTAACTTGTTTTCCCCGCAATAAAGCTGCATCCAGTATAACCTGAAGGCACTTAATAAGTCAGCAAGTGTCAGCTGCACCCCATTGAAGGTGGGAGGCACAATGTCCTTTGGAACTTTAGCCTTCCCAATTAACATTACCTCCATCTAGTCAGGATTTAGTTTCAGTTTGTTGACCCTTAGCCATTTAACCATGGCAGTCAGGCAGCTGTTCAAAATCTCTTATGATGTCACCAAGCAATTTGGATAAAGGCAGGCTTGGGGAGGGGGAGGTGCTGGAACTTTCAAGAGGGAAATGAAGTTTTCAATCTGTATACTGAAAACTCATGAACTTTTAAACATTTTTAAAAGAATTTTGTTGAAGAGGTTCCAAAACTCAATTCTGGCGCATTCCACCAGGGGAAAAAAAAGCCCTGGATAAAGGGATATAGAGCTGAGTATCATCAACATATTGATGACTGAAAGGATATCAGGTAGTGGATACTGGGAAAGAGGCTGAGAGAAGCCACTATCAGAGGAGACCATTCTGAGTGAGACAGATCAAAGGACTAATTCTGAACAAGGAATCTTCTGCTTTAGGATGGACTGTGGTGCAGTGGGCAGAATGCCTTCTTTGCACACAGAAGGTCCCAGGTTCTGTCCAGAGTTCCAAGATCTCAAGCAGGTGTTGGGAAAGAACTTTTTGTGCTGGAGAGCTGCTGACTGTTTGAGTAGATCCTGCTGGACTAGAGGGAGCAATGGTCTGACTCAGCATAAGGCAGTTTACATACAGAGCAGCCAAAGGCCATTATGGAGAGACAGTGTGGAGGTCTGGTGGTTAGGCTGCAGGACTGGGAAGATCAATTTCAGATCCCCACCAGGCCAGGAGGTTCATGGCCTGTAGTTAGGTCGGTAGTTCAGCAGTTCGAGACCCTAGTGCCATGTGACAGAGTGAGCTCCTGTCTCTGGCCCCAGCTCCTGCCAACCTAGCAGTTCGAAAGCAAGAAATTGCAAGTAGATAAATAGGTACCACTTCAGTAGGAAGGTAACAGCATTCCATGCGCCTCAGTGTTTAGTCATGATGGCCACATGACCACGGAAACATCTTTGGACAGAGCTGGCTCTTCAGCTTGGAAACGGAGATGAGCACCGCCCCCTAGAGTTGGATTCAACTAGCTTTTAAGCAACGGAAACCTTTACCTTTTTATATCCAGCATATTTCTCTGCACTTTAAAACTGCATGGAAATATGCCGTAGGTACAGTAATGTAATATCAGAGTGACCACAAGAGGGAGCAAAACACATGGAAAAGGGGAAAAAAACCCATGAAACAGGGGCACAGAAGTGTAAAAAATGAACGTGCAGAAGAGCCCACAATGCCAGGGGCTGCTTGGGGATTGAGAGATGGATGGGGGTGCTGTCAGCTTGCAGCCTCCTGTGGATCTTCAGAGTGGATTTTTCTCTTCAACACTAAGGAAAATAGGCTAAATTATTCCTTTTTTAGTGAAAGCTGAGAATTAAGAAGGTCTAGTAGTTGTTCTGCTATAATCCTATAGCGATGTGTCAATTGCCAGTTTTAAAAAACTCTTCAGAAGATGGGGTAGCAGGAGGATGAGAAAGGAAAATGTTGCCAATGTGGTTTGGACCTGCAAAAATGAGCACCTTTTCATCACACTTTTCTGTGACTTTTCCCATAATGGCATGTGAAAGAATGCAGCAAAGGGGGATGTAGGGAAATTCCACAACTCCACCACATGTCTATGTGACCAAGATTACTTGGTGAGCACACTCACCAGACCCTGGGCACACCTGGTGCTGTGGTGGGAAAATACTGAGGTTTAGTCCGAAAGTGCAGCTGTTTGCTGAAACTTCTAGCAATGTGTAAACTCTGGAATTTATGACCCCTACCCTCAATAAATATGGGAATCTAAACTCGAGGGGGAGGTTTGCTTCCTGAAGGATCAGCTCTCCCGAGAGGCAGGATCTCTGCTTGAACCAAACACTTTGTGTCCGAGCGTTTTCTTTCGTCCCCATTGCTTCAGGGGAGGTGCAGGAGGTGGATCTTTATGGGAGGAATTTTGTGAACACGCGAAAAAAATCTACTCAAGGTGGGAAATCGAAGCAGACTTTTCTGCTCAAATATGGTCCCGGTCACACAAGCGGGATGATCCGCTGCCGAAGAGAGGCAAATTAGAGCCGGAGCAAAAAGAACCGTGGGAGCGCAATCCGATGTGCCCCGGTGGCTCCGTGCTCCGGCAGCCGATCACACGTTGTGCAGCAAACCGGCAGTAGCGCAGTTGTGCACATGCATGGGACGGGGAACGGCGCTGGCTGCAACGGGCTACCAGCGCTTCCCCGAACAGACGCCTGGAGTTGCCGTGCACCATCTGGAAGGTAGTGCTCTGTTGCTAGTACCTTTTAAATGCGCATTTTCGGGTCAAAGGGACGGATCGGGGACGGGTGTGTGACGCTTCCCAGATGTTGCGGTGTAATCGCGCCTGCTTGATTCGCCCCCGATCCGTTCCTCTTGCGGGGCAAATCCTCCCATGTGACTGGGGCGTATGAGAACTTTTATTAGAGAACAGGAATTTGCAGCTCTCTGTCTAGTATTATTTCTGAGAAAATGAAGGCATTTATTCCACAAATATGTTTACAATTATAATTATACATTTTTTTTACCTTTGATGAGTATGTCCTGCAGATAGCTAAACCTTCTCCCAACTTTGCATTTCCCTCTCTCAAAAAGCTCCAGGGGGAAACACCCCCCCCCATGGCTTCAAAATTTCTAGAAATGTTAGAACTCTTGTAATCATCTTTACTACATTGGAACATTCTTCTAATATATTTGGGGTTGGTGAGGACTAAAGAATAGATAGGAATGTCATTCCTCAGTTGCTCAAGATTTTCAATTCCTGCACTGAAAACAATCACTGCTCAAACAGCCTGAAGCAAATTCTTCTTTTAGTTAAACTGCTTGGCCATAATCCAGAAAATCCTTAGGTATGCAAACCTTATGTGCAGTTGCACACATCTGAGCATCTCAGTTCCCCCCAAAAAAGAGCCTCTGAAGTTGCATGTGAATCTCCTTGGATTGTGCCTTCCAGGAATTGTAGGAATATCATGTTGGAAGGGAACAGGAATTTGAAGGGATCAGAACTTGCCATGTGGCCATCTGAACTGGAATCCATGTATTGAATTACTGAATGTGATTATGGTGTCACAATATTATTTATGCTCCCAAACTAGCAAATAATCTAACTGGTCCCAAAAGCTTTAACTGGTATGAAATCTCATAGTCATGACTGATACTTTTTCAACAGAGGCTGGAATTCATATCAGTCTAGGCCTTTGCTTTGCTGGTAGTGAGGCATGCTCAGCTCTTTATAACCAACGTTACTTAACATCATCTTACTTAAAAAGCCTGTCTTTGGAAATACAATAGTACTCTCTAAGTATTCTATTGGTTTTGCATGTATTAATGGTTTCTTCCCTATCCCCTCCCTTGCAGGAATGAACATGTCAGCTGCTGCTGATTTAATACCTACATCATCATGGAACGTGTCAAGTGAACTAGACAAAGGTAAGCAGAGATGGAAAGAAACATTCTAGTCCACATTTTAAAGCTCTTTTAAAGCTTCTTTTACTCTGTTTATGTTGTACTTGGTTGTATCTAACTTTGCTGCTAAGGGTGGCGGGGGGGGAGTTATGGCCCATTTTGTTTGCCAAGTGATCATTTGGCATTCAATTACACACCAGTCTTTGATTTTTAGAGAATGCTGGGACTTGCCCTCCTCCCTTTTTCTTTTAGTAAAATGTTCCACATGTTAAAAATATGCCCAGATGTGAATTACAACACTTTGTGACCTACCTGACATTTCATCTTGTGGCTTGTCGAATCTGGATTCAATATTAACAACCTTTGGTCTGCGTCACTTTGCAGGCCCATTTTGCTCTGCAGCTTTGAGTCAAGCTGTTAGTTATGGACTGGGAGGAAGAACGAAACAAGCTTTAATATTTGTGACAGCTGTTGTGTAGGAGACTGTGAACATACATTATGTGCCTCCATTACTCTGCTAGTCTCATTTGTGCATGCACGAAGAGTGCATTTCTCATGTATGTGCTATGTGGTGTTGTATCTTTTGCTGCACTTGCCTGCTTTCCTTGCCTTCTGGAGTTATGTCATGCTTGTGACATCACCCTGCACATTGCAATGACTGGATTACTGTATAAACTCTCTCAGACTATATTCCTGTTATCCAAAGAAACTGCAATGGCGGGCTACAGTATGTGGATGTTGTGCTGCATTCACCTTGGTTTACTTCTTGTGCATGCATGCTATGACAAAAGTTAAAGGTCAAAAATCAGTATTCTAAGGACCAAAAGGATGCATAAGAGCTATTTTAGTTTAAGTATTTCCTTTTCTGCCTGTTGGTGGTACTTCCCCAACAGACAGTAATATAGTAATTAGTAAACTAGAATTATTAGCTTTTTCAAATACCCTGCTTTTTCTGGTGAGATAGGATCTAGGGCTTTAAATGTTCTAGTTAGGGTTTCTGATGCCTTTTTTGTCATTTAAAATCCTGAGAGACATGCATCTTGGGTGTAGTTTATAATGTCAAGATCTACAGCCACATTTCCTTTTAATGTTTTCAGAACTGCATTGAGAAAAGTAAAGTTCATACAAGCATATACAGTTTAAAGAAATCAACTTCCACCTGTTTTTCCCAAGAGCTGGCATGTGGTCTCAGAAACATCCATATAAACTGGATTTTAAAGCTTGTTAAATGCCTCATGTCAAATTGGTTCGCAGCCAGCATTCCCAATTAAGCAGATGTCCCTATTCAGCAGCCTTCACAGTACCAGCCATTCTCAGATGACTCCCCCCACCACGGTATACACTTCAGTATTTCATTAGATACATGTTTCATGCTCTTATTAAAATATTGGAAAACCCAATGGGGAACTTTTTCATGCTATTTCCCACCTTGACTACTTTTCAAGTGACTGTCTACCAGCTAAGTCTCATTTTTATTAAATAAACTAAATTGGCAGCATTAAATAGTTGCCTGTTTATCCTTTTTAACAGGAAATGAAATTTAAAAGGGACGCAACCACCCATGAAGACCTGTTGAAAGCAGCAATTGATGCGGCAGGGAGAAAGTGGTTTCTCACTAAAATGTTAAAAATGAAATGCTGCATGAAAAATAAAAATAATCATTTTTAGAAGTGCCTTAAAATCATCTGGACAATTCTGTTTTATCTTTTTTTCTCCCTCTGTCATTAAGTGGGAGTTTGTTTTTCCACAGAGAAAGAATCAACTTTTGTTGTTCTTGCCAACCGTACAGATCCACTTCAGAAAAGTATAGCCTTGATGCAGGGAGACTGTTTTTCTCAGGGGATTAGGCAGAAGCACAAGGCCTCTCGGCTGGGAATCGTACATTTATATCACACTGAGAGATTTGTTGTGAGAAATAGCCTGGCGGCTTTACAATGTGTATAAATAAAAACATATACAATCAATTATTTTAGAAAAGAGCTTGAGTCCAGTGGCACCTTTAAGACCAACAAAGTTATATTCAAGGTATAAGCTTTCATGTGCATGCACACTTCTTCAGATACAGTGAAATAGAAGTTGCCAGTCCATACATATAGGTAGAAGGTGAGCAGCAAATTAGCATACAGCTTAATAAATTTGTATGACAGGTGGCAGGGACCAAACTGGAATAACAAGCTTAGTTTATATGGTCACCATTTGTTTGGGTTTAATTCTGGGGGGAAACATGGTGAAGGAAATAAATATATCAAAATCTGAGCTTGATGGGTAGATGTACCCTTCTTAATTGTGTTATTGTTTGAAGAAGTATGATGACTTCTTCATACATACATAGTAAACATATATCATATAGATCAGAACTGATTCTAAAATGGATAATAACTATTGAACACACTAATTCAATTTTTAATTTTGCTGCCAGGAAACAGGAAAAGCTATAAAAACAAGTGAATTATTTTGCTTAGCCTCAAAAGTGTGGCAGCTATCCAGATTTTGTTGATCTGATTTAGATATGTACCATAAATGTCCGATTTGTAGCTTTTTGGCTGTCAAAATAAGATCTAGAATCAAAGTTTAGTGTTCTTTTTTTCATAATCAAAGAGGACACCTAGGAGAGTAACTTTTGGATTTTTTGAGGAGCTTGAGATATTAAGATCATTTGTGTATAATCTTTTCCCAGCTTTTCTTTTCATAGTTAGACGTGATCACCACATATGTAGATAGTCAGCAGACATCAATCTACATTTCCAGCATTTGTGAGAAGTTACTTTATAACATTTATTTAACCTTTGAGGATTAATATACATATATGAATTTATAAATACTTTCTCACATATTTATTTAGATTGACTTTACAAATCCAAAAGTAAATATTGACTTTTGGTCATCAGATATAGAGCAATTCAGCATTGTTTCCTAATACCTATGCAGATCAGACTAACCCTTAAGCGACAATTCAGTTTGACAGTAAGAAACATAGGAACATAGAGCTGGAGGGGATCTCAAAGATTATCTAGTCTAGTCCCTTGCACAATTCAGGAAATTCACAACTACCTCTCCCCCCCCCCACTCTCCCAATGACAAGAGGAGACCTATACCCAGAGGAAAGTGAAAAACCTGCAGAATCCCTCGGCCAATCTGTCCTGGAGGAGAATTGCTTCTTGATCTCACAGAGGTGATCAGCACTACTCTAGGCATATAAGAAAGAGCCATGAGAGCCAAGAAGAGCTGGTTTTTCTACTCTGCTTTTCTCTACCCTAAGGAGCCTCAAAGTGGCTTAGAATCACCTTCCGTTCCTTTCCCCACAGCAGTCACCTTGTGAGGTAGGTGGAGCTGAGAGAGTTCTAAGAGAACTGTGACTGGCCGAGGGTCACCCAGCAGGCTTCATGTGGAGGAGTAGGGAATCAAAACCAGTTTGCCAGATTAGAGTCTGCTGCTCTTAACCACTACATATCACTGTCTAAATTCACAGAATTGGCATTGTTGTCAGATGACAATCCAGCCTCTGCTTAAAAACCTCCAAAGAAGGAGAGCCCACCACCTCCCAAATAAGCCTGTTTCACTGAGCAACCGCTCTAAACATTAAACTGCTTTTAATGAAAATTATCCTCCCTTCTTGTCCAAGTAGAACTCAGATTCACAGAGCACTTGCCACTTGTATAAGAATGAGGCAATTCCTGTTTGTGGCACCATTGCTGTGCAGGGGCACAGGTGGCTGCTGGAGAAAATGGAATTAAAAAAAAAAACTTCTATGAACCTTCTCAGCTAATAGAATTTTCTGTACCAGTTTTCATTGTTCAGCAAACCATAAGCTGAGTCTCTAGCATTTGTTGCCTATTTCTCTGAGCACTTTGTTGACAGTGACTTTACAAGGTCAAAATCCTGAAGTGTTCCCATTCTGTAATATTCTTCTGAGAAAGAATCTGGAGAGTTTGTACTTCTATCACATTGTGTTTTCTAGATTTTCTTAGATTCTTTTCATGAAATCTTTAAATGTGAAATTGATTCATGTGGTGTAAGAAGACAGAATTACAGCTTTCATATCCATGCACAATTTACCTTTTCTTTTTCTCTTGCTATCCAGGGATGTTCAGTAAATCAAGTACCTCCTATGGGACTTGGTTTTTTAAAAATTCTCTTTGTGGGGTCCCATGAGTAGTCAATGCAGTAAATTACTGTGACTTTGTTTGAGATTTTTTTAGTTACAGCACATTAGCTCTTTTGTTTGCTTTTCCACTGATAGAGTGTGTGTTTTTATTTGAGAATTTGTGTTTCTAGAATGTCTCATTTATGACTAATACAGGGTGTGAAATGCGAAGGTCATACAAGAAAAGCTACCTCAGAAACTGACCTCAGTACCATTCACCAGTTTGCTAAGCTGTTTCAGAGAATGCATAACTTATTTTGGAATTTAGTGTCTCCTCCCCGCTACTTTTTAAATCCTAGTGAAGATAATGAATGTCTGACCATTACACAGAAAGTAACTATATATAACAACCTTTCCCCAGTTCACCCACCTATCTTCGTTTATTTGAAAGATTAATGGATCAGAGGGCCAAAGAACGTGTTTTATTGTGTATTTTTGTTCCAGATTTCTTGACATTTCTAGTTTAAAAACTAGACCATTAAGATGCAAAGGAAGGACTAATAAGAAGCAGATCTTGAAGTGATTGTATGTCAAAAATAACTGTTTATCTTTGACTTTGTGGCATTAATCTTCTGTCATTTTATGTAACACACACAGAGAACCCACAAAGACTTGCAAGGGGCATCTCATCTTCCCCTTCCCCACTTTTTTCTATATCCCTTCCCAGAAAACACCTACAGCCGCTTATTTTTTCCAGCTTTCTTCTTTCTTTTCCACTCAAGAGCCCTGCTAGCCTTACCCAGAAAAACTATTGCTGCATTGCACAGTGTTGGCTGCTGGGCCAGCCCCAATTGTGTGGTAGGATACCTTTAAAGACTTGTGGAGGCACCTCATTTTTTCCTACTATATGCCCTTTCCACACTATTTCCTCTTTCTCTCC